TGCTCCACCAGCTCACGGAACGAGTAGTTGGGATGTTTCTTCCACAGGTGATGCACCAGCTTGGCAAACACCTCCGTATCCGTGTCCGACTCGAATTCATAGCCCTTCTTGGCTAGGAAGGTCTTGACGTCGTTATAGTTGGTGATGATGCCATTGTGAACCACAACAAAGCTGTTGCCCTCATCAGAACGTTGTGGATGGGAGTTACGCTCGCACGGCACACCATGGGTGGCCCAACGGGTGTGTGCAATTCCAACGTGCGTGTTCACCGGCTCGCTATACTCCCCGCCGCTAAAGTCTATACAAATGTGATGCGATTCAATTTACAACAGTGCTAGTGGATTATTTTAAAACCAACTGCAGCTTACGTTCTTGAATGGCATCCTCCAGCACCTTGACCTTGCCAGTGCGCTTGACCATAACGATATCCTTGTTGTCTGGTGAATCGATTGCTACGCCGGTGGAGTCATAGCCTCGGTATTCTAGTCGCTTCAAGCCTGTCACCAGCAGGTCCAGCACCTCTTGACGAGACTTGGGTGTTAAATAGTTCAAGTAGGCGAAAATTCCTTTAGGTAAAGTGTAAACAGTTGATCAATGATTGTATGTGTTTAGATTTAAAAACTTTATGACTAAAAAATCAGGAAATTCAATTTCAAATACCAGAATGCTTGCTTATGTATGTTAACCTTTTTAAAAATATATATAAGTTTATGTTAAAAACATTTTGCAAGAGCTTAAGTTATTGAGTTCCAGTCCAAGACCCGACCAGTTATGAGGAAATCTGCATCTAAAGTAAAACCAGTTTGGGCTTGGGCTTTGTATGTTGGTGCACTACTTGGATAAGTGGCTCAGCGGCTTTGTGGGCGTCCAATAGAAGTTATTTTTGGAGTCGAGTGAGGCGAAAGGCCGTCGACGCCATCGAATGTAATCGAATATAAATGCCAGCTTTATTGTGTCAGGGGCCCTGAATTCTGTGTAACAGTTATACCAAAACTTAGCCACAATATTGCGTATACTTAATGTTAGTCTTACTCTTCGTATATCAAGTCAGGGCATGGACTTATAAACAATGATTATATATTTGTTTCAGTTGTAAAGTTATAATTAAATTATATATAAGAATTTATTATAATAACTCACCACACATTTTATGACTTGTTCAATTACACAATATTGCCCAAGATTCCTTTTTGATTTCTTCCTTAAATTAAGAAAACACATATTATAAATTCGTATTCACAGTTTAAATAAAAACAATATTAGCTTCCAATTCTATTTGAAGTATGTATAGCTTGATAACTATTTCAATAATAAATATGAGGAAGTATGTCATTTATTCTCTATAAACAGTAGAGTATGCAGTAAGAGTATGCATGAGTCACTAAGATGTTTCGAGTGGAGTCTCAAGCGTACTAATAAAACCTGGTTTCGTAATTGAAAGCGAAGTAAAGAGAGTCTTAGTTTTAAAGAGGGTAATTGTTGAACTACCCTGACTCTTAGTAATGTGTGTGTGCGTGTGTTACTGTGTGGCTTGCATGTGTGAGTGTGTGTTAACAAGCGCACGAGTGTTCTTATCAACTCGTCAACTCTTCAGAATATTTCTTTCCGCTGCGGCTACCGGTCTACTTAGTTCTGTGTAGTTCTAGTTCGAGGTCCCGTCCTCGTTCCCGCTTGTGCTTGTTTGGTAAACATGATTTCTTAGTTTTAAATCAAATGGCAATTTCTTGTAGTCAAGATTCTTGCTTTGGTTTTGCGTTTTTTATACCCTGTACCTATTCCAATAGGGAGCAGAGTCAGTTGTAGACATTTTAAGATAGATGAATATCTCTGCGACATTATCAAGATAACCCAAATATATCTTGACCTTACAGATCAAAAAAAATCATCAAACTATATTAAAGCGCAAATTCGAAGATTGCTTTGAGTGCTCAAAAAATATATATGCAGGGTATATTCTAGTCTATTCTAGTCTTCTGTTATTCTTTTACATCTGGTGCTCAGTTGTTCTTTTTATCTAGTTAAATGCGTCGCAAGAAATAAATATGTTTGTATAAATGTATGTTTGTGTGTCGCACACATAACTGTGGGCGACCCCAGGTCCGGGTGTGGGTTTTGGCTAAGAGGGACGACTATGTAAGCATGTATGGATAAAATTTATGCATGTAGACTTGAATCGGAGGCACAAGTTAGAGTATAATTTCTTTTGAATGGGCTTCACAAATTGGAATTTTTATCATTTAGCACAAAACGTGTTTGCGGCGCTTCGCTCTGAATCTTTGCCTTGCTCTAGAGCTTCATGGTGAATGGTCATAGTGGGAGCGTCTACTCTTCGGCCAATTCAGGTGCAACACGTACTCAACCGTCTTTGTCTTTGACTTTGCCGTCTTCGCCCCTCCATCGGGCGACTGTTTATGGTGAGTGTGACAGAATTCTGGAAAGCTCTCACATGCACCCTCGCCACGTCTTCTTCGGTCTCCCCAACGGCAATTGTCAATAGTTAACACACTCTTCCTCCCCGCCTCTGCATCTCCTTGGTCACGACCGATGGCTGTGATTGGCATTTTTAATTTGCTTGCCGGGCCGGCCAGGTGCCAGAGCTCACAGTTTCGAGTGGCTAGCAGAAAAGAAGCCAAGCATAGTACGGTAATTAAAACGATTCACCCGTACAGAATACATCTGCAATCATGTTGTTCTGGCTTGGCACCGATGAGACTCTCGCCTTTCGCAAAGCTCACTATGAATGTAAACACAGTCGGGAAAGCTTTCCACTAATGAATCAATTGTGGCTACAAAGGCCCCAAAATGACTTATCACACGTAGATAAGAGTGGGAGGTAAGCATTCCAGTAGACAGAAAAGTTGATGCCCGCCCAGGCGTCCCCCTGCTGCACTTTTAATTGGTCGGGCAGATCGTAAAAATAGAAGAGCATTAAGTAAGCAGCGACAATAAAAGAAATAGTGCGACAAGCTAATCAAGCGCAGTCGATTGACGATTGCCTGGACTTCCTCCCAGGTGTAAGTTATTATAATTTATGAAATACTTTATGATCTATATAAATGCTTACAGAATTAAAATTGCATAGCCATTGAAAATTAAGGTCGTGACGCTAGCATATTCCACGGAATAGTATCTCAAGAATGGGAAATTGACTGGCAGTTATCAGCTCATTACTTTTTGAGCAACTATTAATAATTGAGCAATAAAATTGATAAACAAAAACAAAAATGGTATTGCAATTATTTTATATTGACACCTTTTATACATCAGTTTTGGACCACGTCTGAGCTTTTTTTTCTACCAGTTGAGTAAACTCTAACGGAGCACAACAGAGCCAGTCCACGCCTTGGCATTGCGTCGTGGCTTGTTTGTTGGCGCAAGTCGGCAACAATTTGTTGTTTATTCAGTTTGTATATATATTGTAGGGTATTTATGAACGGTTTGCCACATATTTTTAGATTTGGGGTCGCCCGCATCTACTCGTGGTACTTGCAACGTTTTATCAATTTTGTTTTGGTTTTTTTATGCATTGCGCTGCCTGTTAACGCCAGTGTGGTTGTGTTGTTTTGTATCTGTGTGTTTGTGTGCGTGTGTGCGTGTATTCGCGGTCTGAAACACCAATCAGCAGTGCTGCAAACAGCGAACAGGTATTTTATATAAGACGATACAACGAATTTTGACCGCAATTTCGGGTTTAAAGCGGGTTTTGTTGCCCCATAACATTTTCGTGTTATTTTTTTTTTTTTGCTTTTGCATTGTGTTATTAAATAATTCAATTAGTGTTTGTTGCGCTGGCAACACAGCAATACCGCACCACCCAACCGCACCACTCACTCAATATCCAGCAAATTGATTTTAATACCGAATTTTAATCTGTGCGAGGTGCCCAGTCAAGTATTTTGGGCAGTTGACTGTCCTTTGTCTTTTGTGGTGGGTTTTTGGTTTACTTTTAATTGCAGCGCGTTAATTACAAAATCTAGATTTGAAATCCACACAAAAAACAATTTATAAACTAAACACACACTCTACACTCACACGGTATGCACAGCTTGCGGTTGGCTTGTTTAATAGCGTGTGTGGTGTTCGACTTTGACGTGGTAACAAGTTGGTTCAGGTCTGGAAACGCACTTGCTGCTGGCCAACTCCACTGTGAAATTAACACTGAGCTCACTCTGAAAAGAAACTCACACTAAATGCGCTGCTTTTATAGGCTACCGACCGTTTCGACGCCAGCGTCATCGCCGGCTCCACATTAGCGCTGCGATCGTTTTTGCCAAACACTGAGAGTCAGAGCCAGAGGTATAGCCAGAGGCCGAGCACCCGATACAACCACTCACACTCACACTTACACACTCAATACTTATATGAGTATACTCATACTCACAGCCAACAACAGCAACAGTTGGGAGAGCAAAAATAAATGTCGCGCTCCAAAAGACAGTTACGCTTATCGCGAGCATTAAAGAGCACGATCCCGACTAGTGCTTTCGGGTTGGGCGCCCACTTTTAACTCCAACCGTATGATTATATTGGGAATATTAATATATAGTTGAGTCTTTTTGATTGTGAACATTGTAAATATTCAAATTCACATGTTGAAAATATATAACTTATATTTTATGCTTAAGACGAAAAATAACATTTAACCGGCCCAACATATAAACTAGTTAGTTGTTAGCACTAATCGCCATGCAGTTATCATAGCCATTCATCTTGGGTGCCGGCAGGGCATGCCACTGACTTATGTCCTGATGGTGCTTGGTCCGCCCAATCGATGTCGGAAGTCTGTCATCAGCTGGAAATATTATTTTGTCTCCGATCGAAAAATATATATTTATATGGTATATCAACCTACGAAGATACTTTCCTTCTTCCTTCCTTGAAACATAAATACAAACAAATAATGTATTCATACAGTTGCGACCAAAAAAAGACGCTCTAACTGAACGCACTTCTCGGGTTCGTGCTCTTTAATGCTCGCGATAACACACAACTGTTGCTGATGTTGGATGTGTGTGAGTATGAGCACCCAAGCGGTATGAGCGTAAGTGTGAGTTTGAGTGCGAGCGTAAATGGTTGTTTGAAGCACTCGGACTGAGCCTCTGGCTGTAACTCTCAGCATTATGCTATTGGTATGAATGTCAACATCTTGAATTTAAATCAAAATGGATTGACCATAAAATTACCATTTAAAATCTTTTAAAAATAAAAAAAAACAGTATATTTTGAATTTTGCGTTTCTGCAAATTTGTCAAAAAATAACCTATAATTTATCAAACTCTTTGATAAACAATCATGTTATATCGATTGAAGCAAAGTATTGTTTTTGAAAATCTCGCACTTAGTTTTGAAGCTGTATTGATAAAACTTAACCGTGCTTTGTGGTTGCAGGCAGCTCAAATGTCAAAGTCGGTCGCACCGGATTTCTATGGTTCATAAATCCTAAAGGAAAGATCGGTCTTAAGCAAATAAATGAACTGCATGCCCTGGCCGCACCCAATTTGAATATTTTGATTTTAGCAATTGCCCGACTCTTGGGCAAGGCAAATTAAACTACTCTAAACTTGTTTTTCAGTTTCCGATATCCTCACACAAACCCAAATTTAATTGAACTCTGGCATTTAGCCTGCAAGTGTCGCGGTGCATTTATTACGGGTATTCAGCTGAGACAGATTGATTAACACAGTACAATTTGAAATTTGCGCTTCAGCTGTCGCATCAACTAAAAGGCATTAAATCAATATGCATATTGCATATATATTATGCGTGGTTTTTCATATTAAATTTCAATTAATTAATTTGTGAACTGACAAAGGAAGTCAATGACATGTGCAAAATGCTTAAATCAGTTAAGTAATGTTTTATAAATTGTTTCATTTTATTTATTTTTCAACACAGTTTTATTTTGTTATTTTTTCATTTCCCTGGCTTTGTTTTGCCCAGTCTATGAGGAGAAGTCTATGCGCAGGAATCATGGCGCCAATTGATGGGTCAATATTTTACATTTCAATATAGCCGCATCCCATGGGCGGCATGCGGCACATTGTTTTTTCGCCTCCGTGTAAAATTCAATATGCATAAATTCATAAAATACCAACTGCAGCTTTGATAAAAAAAAAATAAATTAACAGAAAATACAAAATGTGAATATTTAATTTAGCAGACAGTGTAACCAAATAGTATGAGATGTTGGACACATGTAGAAAATACTAAATGTCAACAAATGAAAACCAATTTAAAGCTCGAGGCTGGCTGGAGCAGAGTATTGCCAAATCCCCAAACCGGTTAAATATACAAATTATGCGTTAATAAAAATTATTTCTGCTCGTTTGTGCCGTACCACCGTACCACCACCTTAAACAGCACCGGTTTTTATACGTCAGTAACCTGAACGATATAATATAAATATTTATGGTTTCTTTTTCTAACTCTGCCGCCAGCAGCAGTTGTCTGCAGTCCTACCAGAGTTTTTGTATCTGTTTTGGCTTCTGTTATCGTAGTCAATTTGTTTTGTTCATAATAACTGACCTTGACTTCCATTCGAAAGGAAAAGTGATGCTCCAACTGGCGACTCGGATTAAAAACCTGTCTTTAAAAGACGCAGCTTCCCAAAAACCTTCAGCAAGATCAACATAATGTAATGGGGTAAAAAGAAGCTCTGTTGAAGATATATCGAGAAATTAATAGCTCCAATGTACTTATTAAAACTGTTTGCAAAGTCATATTATATGTGGTAGATATATTTTCAAATTGGTTTTCTTCTCATACTCTCCCAACTCGCATTTCTCTCTCGCTCTCCCACAGCGGAATTTATTACCTGTAAATGGTAAGCGCCAATCGTCAATGGTAAAAACGAGTTTCGAGTTGATTTTTTAATATTGCCTGGCCCAACTGGCCACCAGAAGTATCGAGTGCAAGTCGCAGTCAGGCCGGCCCAGCTGACCTTGCTTTTAAACATCTTGTGCTACCGGTAGACCCCTTACTTCCATGATATTGGTCACAGAGGGGCATTGCTGGGTGTAATGCAGCTGTTGGCCCTCAACTAGACAGACTCTACAGAACAATTACCACAGTTCTTTGTCATTTTAATATGGCAAATACATATACATATAATACCCTCGAATTTGTGCAAAAATTAATTAGACTGCGCCACGTCAGTTTCAGTGAGACCCAATGCGGAAAACACAAATCATACATACTTTCCCAACTAGTTTTACAATGCCTCGACAAAGAGCTAGGTGTGTCCATTGTGCATCAAATCAGGAAAGTGTTGTGCTTATCAATGTGTTGATAAGTAAAAACAAAAGCAACTATCTATTCGCTGACAATATAATAAAAAAGCCAACTTACAAAAAAGGCTGATGCAAAAAGTTTTCGAATTTTTGGTTTTCTTTAATTGAAAAACTCATTAAATAAAATAATGTAAGCCGATATACTTTTTGCAAATTGCTAGCGTAAATTGATGTACATGGACAATTAATTGTTGTTATAAATTTTACTCTCTGACTTACATTACAAAAAATGTTGTAGATGAAATGTTTCAAAGTCACTTTCAAAGTTTTATCTCTAGCAGCAAATTAAAATTAAATACATGAGGATGAGTGTACACTTGTATCCTTGGCAGTATGTCAAGAGAGCTCAAGATGTTGGTCTACTTGAAAAGCGCATGTCGCTAAAGAACGTATTTATATGACACAAATTGGTGCAACTACCAGCCAGCCCCTTTGACATCAAGGACAATTTTCAGTTTCAAAGCAAAGGGCACTTAACTATTGTTGTGCCCTCGGAATCCCCTCAGTTATCACCTAGTACCCAGTCTAGACGCGTGTGTGAAATAGTCTTCAAATGCGTTGAACATGAAGAGTTCCAAATTCAAATCCTAATCTAGCTGTGAATACTTTTACTTATGATACCATCCGTGGGCTCAAATGGGTCTTAAGCTTGGTGCTAGGATCAAAGTCAGCAGCAAGTTTAGCAAAGTGTACCTCTGGGCTTCCAACTCCTTGTGCTCTGAACTATCTTGTCATCATAAAAAGTTGAATGTGAGTGTATAGTTTTATGGACTTGCTTTATATTTCGAACTTATGCTAAGGACCATTGTATCGTGTTCTAATTTGTTGGCTGACTTGTGGCTTTATATTCAAAGAGAAGTTAATGCTGTGTAGCTAATTATAGCACATATTATATTAAACAAAATATTATACCCAAAGGTGAAAATTCCTATTTTCTTTACTGCGACAGTCCTCCCATTTTATTCAAGCCCCGGATGGTGGATTAAAGTTCCTTATTTCCTATATCAATGCGGAATTTCTTCTGTTCGTTCAAGGAAATTTATGAGATAGGGTGCGAGTTCTAATGCCAGCCGGCACTTTGTTTATTTAAATAAAAATTTCACAATAATATGAAACAACTGAACTAAAGGCAAATTCACAGCGGCCATTAATTAAATTTATGCACAGGCATTGCTGTCTGGCAAGGACGAGGCCCGAGGCAGCAAAAACATCAGGCGGAAGAACCAACAACACGGCAGTTGGCGGTTGCGGTGTGAGCTATGGCTACGGAGATTGTGACAATGGTGGTTCGTCGATGTTGCTCGGTGGTTGCAAGGAACTGTGTCCTGCTCGGCCACACTAAGAGGCAAACCCGAAAAGTATGAAAAACCCGACCGGCAAGCGAAATACTCGTATATAAAACGAGAAAATATTTCAAATAATTCGCTTGCCTGCGCCCGGGTCGGTGGTGTGGGAGGCCTGCTTGTTGTGAGTGGTGGTGTGACCAAGACGCAACCGGGCTGCTTGTGGCGGCACCAATTATGGAAGTAAAATTTATTATTTTTTATTGTTGCTGTAAAGTAAATCGAGTGTTTGTAGTTATATCGTATGTGTGCCTGTGTGCATGGGTGTGTGTATGATTGTTGTGTTTTCATATTTTTCCATGGCTATGCGGCCATTGTGTACAATTTTCACATGACTGCGATGCTGTTGCTGTCGTCGGGTCTCTGCTTTATTTTTAGTGTTTTTAGTGCTTGGGTCAGTTGTTTTCGGTGTCACTTAGTTTATAAACTATTTATGCCTTCCACTGCAGTAAATTCTTATTTTGGCATTTGCGCTTTTGTTGCTTTGTGTGATGGCACATGTGTGGGCACAAATAGAGTGAAATCGTTGAACGATAAACATATACTCACAGGCATACATGCAAACAAATTTGAAAACAACAAAAAATGAAACCAGATGTAGGTAGAGGCAAAAATAATTGAAAGTTTTGGCTTGTGGCAAATACGAGTACAGGCCATAGACAGGACAGCTTAACCGGCTGTCCCCCAACATAGGCGCTTGGCCCGAACTTCTTGTACTTGTTTTAGCTGCCTCACCAGAAAAAGTGGCACAACTTTTGATTTATTTTACTTTAGTTTGCCCAACAATCTGCACTCGACGGTTGGCACAGACTGCGGCAATACTCAATGTAAAATTAAATAAAAAAGGAAATTATATTTCGCACAATCCAATACGATTGTTAACGCCGAGCGGTGTAATATGCTAATTCCAATTAGAGATTATAATTTAATTAGACACGTAATCAAGAAAGCCCTATTAGAAGCTATACTCAAATTTGCTTATGACCGTAAAGATGTAAGATAAAACATATTCCTAACCACTCGTGGCAAGAAGGCGATGCCATATTTGCATACTTTTAGGATGAATATTAGAGTCTGTTCGAGCTTTTATTCAATATGCAAAGTAATTTCAAATATAAGGTATACTTTTAAGAATGTTACAGCAGACTTTTGTAATTATCTCAATGCTTTTAGAAAGCGATCGGATAAGTATTACCACACTTAGCCTAAGGCTGTGTTTAGCCCATAACAACTTCCTTCACGTTAATGGCCATGAAAGGTGTAAAATGCGGCATAGAACAAAGACACTATTCGCAGCTAATTTAACATTAAAAGGCTATGAATGCCAGCGTGGAGATAAGACTTAAAACGATAACACAATCGCTTGCAATGAGGAGCACTCGTAAGACAATTGCGAAGACGATGATGGCAAAAGTAACGTCGCATTCATTTGGTTGCTTTAATAAAAGTTAATGTGAATTTTAAATGAAACTCGTAAATCGGCGTCGTCAAAGCGGGCCATATGACGCCTGAGTGTTGTAGTTGGTTAGGGGTCACGCCCCCCATCGGAGGGGGTTAAGGGAAATCCGTGTCACCCGCCATCGTCATAAAAGTTAAGCGAATAACAAATGTGACGACGATGGACGCGTCCCCGACGCGTCACATCGTGCAGGGGGAGTGATGCTCGTAAATAATTTAAATGTAATCGTCAACATCCACAATGACATTTAAGCACGTGCCTACAATCGACCCCTGCCCCAGGTCAGATCCGCCCAGTGAGCGCTACGTCCAATGCTCGCCCGTCAGCCGGTAAAATCTCTCGTAAATTATAAATTAAATATTTACACCAGATTGTGAACACTTTGCGTTTATTAATATCCAGTGGCTTAGGTGCGGCAATTTTCCAGACAACAAACCACGCGTCGCCTAGGCGAGCTGCATTTATCCTGCCAGGACCGCCAGCACATCCGCTGCCATTGCCACTCCACTTCCCACTGCCACTGCTCGAGCCGGTGCCGGTGCCGGTGCGTGCGTTTGCGTAGAGTAATTAAATCTCGGAAATAATTTGACATGCGGAGTCAACGTTCTTCATCAACGGCTGGCGCTTTAATTCCATTTTAATATTGGAGATTTTAATTAAATTCCTAATTTCAAGCTGGCACATGCACATCCTGTCTAAATTATTTAAAGTAAATTATGACAACTACACCACTAATAGGACTCTTAACTTGTGGACTTGTGGCTTGGGCATTTCCGGCAGCGGTTACAAAATTTACAACTGAAATATTTCAAATTCCAAAGCGGTTCCTGTTCCTTCAAACACAAAAACAATAAAACCCAACCCATTTTCCGGCTGAATTGCTCTCAGGTTTCGGGTTTCATTGTAGATTGATTTTCTATTAAATCTGAAGTACCTATTGACAAAAGCAACGTTTCAGTATCAATTATGCCCTTTAATTATTTTTGGCAGAAATGTGTGTTTATTTTTACAAATTTAAGCTACTATTCATATTGAAATTAATTAAATATAGTGAAACTTTAACTTAAAGCTAAGCAGTGACACATTTGGAAAAGCTTTAAACGGTGAACAAATAAATGCAAAGTAGGTTACACATTTGAATTACAATTTAAAGGCAAACAAACCGCATAACCAAGCCCGATGTAATTATTGACAAATTACAAAATCAACAAACCACCGAACCATAAACCGGCATCAACAAATTAAAATGTCGGCCGGGATAAAATAACATTTATTATTCACAATAAGACTCAACAATGATGAATGGATAACTAAGCCACGCCTGCTGCTACCACATGCCGTAGGCGAAGGAGTAAGCCAGGAAATTACTTGCGACCGACTGAATACACAGATTATATACAGATTACCACAACGCCGGTTGCTCCTATAAGCTGCCGCGATTGTCTTATAATCTAAAGTGTCATCCAATTTAGTTTATTCTACATCAAAATACTTGGTTTGTGGTCAAGGTAAAAACTGACTTTAAGTCATATTGCTATATTCCTACGGGTTACTTAGGCCACTTAGTACTCATGAAATTATTTTAACAGATACATATATGAATTGCAATTCAAAATAATTGTAATGTTTGTGGTCCCCAGTTGAATATATCAGCCGACCGCATTTAAAATATTGTTTATTCTTTTTTATAAATAAAGTTGAATGCATAAAATTATCAAAATATCTGCAAAATATAATTCGTGCAAATGTATCGCAGATTCATACTGTTTGCATAGAACATAAAAATGATTGACTCAGCTTTTTTATCGGTTTGCATTTGGCGATATTTGAAAATGTTACTTTAATTTATGTTATTGACTTTGTGTCCTAATGGAAACAAGAGTGAAACGTGCTATTGCATTTAGAGTTTTGTTCCAGCAACAACATTCACTTTGAAATTTTCACGTGGCCTTCCCGCCGGAATCTAAGTAGTTCGACTATCCTTGGCTTAACTAAACTTTCAAGGCTAATTGGATTCATTCCTCAGAGCACTTTGTGCCTTAAATATGAAAAAATATTTTTCTTTTTCTTATTTCCAACTCCATTAATGATTAAAAGCATAAAAACTTGCGCAAATGGAACACTAGGAGTTCTCAAAAAAGTTTAATTTAATTAGTATTTAAGCCCGTTTTATTTTCCCAGCTCCACTGGATACGATTTTAATGAGTGGTGGGCGGGTCTAAACCAGCAACAGCGAGCTGGTTATGGCTGACAGCTGCTCCCATATGTCTGGGTGGGAGTATAATAAATTTTCAAGAGTTTTTACTAGAAACAATAGATGGTATTTACTTTGTGATTTATTTGGTGAGTTGTGGTTAACAGAACAGCTCTCTATTCTTGTTGTTCTGTTTCTGCATATTTACTTTCGCTTCAAAGCTAACCGTCTTCGTATTTAAAAGGAAGACCAACTGTGGCCGCCATTATTATTCCTGCAGCACAAGTCGGTGAGTCCTTGGAGTGAGCGAAGGGGATAACATGTCAACATTTACCACAGCCGGCATAAGCCTCGAACTCTCTTATCCGGCAATGTACTCTTATTTCTGTATGTATCTGTATGTGTACATATCACATCAATTTGCACACATGCGTGCGTGTGCGCGTGTGTGTGTTGCAAGGTCGAAGTTTTTTGTGCGGAAAAATTAAGTTTATTTCAAACTTGTAAGTATCTTTCATAGCTGGTTCTACTTTCTTGTGCGTATTACACAAGGTCACACATATAAATATATATATACACATTCATCAAAGTACATATTATGATATGCATGTGTATATATTTACTTTCAAATGCTTGCTTGTGTAGAAGATTTCACGCTGCGTTCCTCCCGCGTATATAAGTATATAAATTTTGCATTTATCGAAGTCAAAAAAAAGCACAATTATACTTATATAGAAAATATTACCCAACGTTAACAGTTAAAATTTGAAAGTACAAGTGGTGCTGGAACTGTTTGTGCACTTTACGCCAATTTCAAAGATAACCAAAGCAAAGGTGATTTGGGAAATTCCACCCGCAACAATGGTTAATTAGCGAAAAACGGTTGTATGATAGTATTTTTTTTACCGTAGCTCCGCGGGGAGATATGACGTTCCAAAACGACATAGCTCCGCGCGGTATGATGGATAATAGCTCCGCGGGGAGATATGACGTTCCAAAACGACATAACTCTACGCGGTATGATGGGTAATAGCTCCGCGGGGCGATATGACGTTCCAAAACGACATAACTCCCTCCGCTCGGATGGAAATAGCTCCGCAGGGAGATATGACGTTCCAAAACGAATAACCCCGCGCGGTATGATTGGTAACAGCTCCGCGGAGAGATATGACGTTCCAAAATGACATAACTCCCTCCGGTCGGATGCAAATAGCTCCGCGGGGAGATATGACGTTCCAAAACGACATAACTCCGCGCGGTATGATGGATAATAGCTCCGCGGGGAGATATGACGTTCCAAAACGACATAGCTCCGCGCGGTATGATGGGTAATAGCTCCGCGGGGAGATATGACGTTCCAAAACGACATAACTCCCTCCGGTCGGATGGAAATAGCTCCGCGGGGAGATATGACGTTCCAAAACGACAAACTCCCTCCGCTCGGATGGAAATAGCTCCACGGGCAGATATGACGTTCCAAAACGACATAACTCCGCGCGGTATGATGGGTAATAGGTTCGCGGGGAGATATGACGTTCCAAAACGACATAACTCCCTCCGCTCGGATGGAAGTAGCTCCGCGGGGAGATATGACGTTCCAAAACGACATAACTCCCTCCGCTCGGATGGAAATAGCTCCGCGGGGAGATATGACGTTCCAAAACGACATAACTCCCTCCGCTCGGATGGAAATAGCTCCGCGGGGAGATATGACGTTCCAAAACGACATAGCTCCGCGCGGTATGATGGATAATAGCTCCGCGGGGAGGGAGATATGACGTTCCAAAACGACATAACTCCGCGCGGTATGATGGGTAATAGCTCCGCGGGGAGATATGACGTTCCAAAACGACATAACTCCCTCCGGTCGGATGGAAATAGCCCCGCGGGGAGATATGACGTTCCAAAACGACAAACTCCCTCCGCTCGGATGGAAATAGCTCCACGGGCAGATATGACGTTCCAAAACGACATAACTCCGCGCGGTATGATGGATAATAGCTCCGCGGGGAGATATGACGTTCCAAAACGACATAACTCCACGCGGTATGATGGGTACTAGCTCCGCGGGGAGATATGACGTTCCAAAACGACATAGCTCCGCGCGGTATGATGGGTAACAGCTCCGCGGGGAGATATGACGTTCCAAAACGACATAA